CAAGCTGTCTTCAAGACCCCTGACCGTCTTCAAGACCCTTGGTTGTCTTCAAGTCTCCTGGTTGTCTTTAAGACCCCTGACTGTCTTCAAGACCCCTGGTTGTCTTCAAGACTCCTGGTTGTCTTCAAGACCCCTAGCTGTCTTCAAGACCCCTGACTGTCTTCAAGACCCATGATTGTCTTCAAGTCTCCTGGTTGTCTTCAAGACCCCTGGCTGTCTTCAAGATCCGTGGCTATCTTCAAGACCACTGGTTGTCTTCAGGACCCCTGGCTGTCTTCAACACCTCTGACTGTCTTCAACACCCCTGACTGTTTTCAAGACCCCTGTCTTCAAGACTCCTGGTTGTCTTCAAGACCCTTGTTTGTCTTGAAGACTCCTGGTTGTCTTTAAGACCCTTGGCTCTCTTCAAGGCCTCTTGTTATTTTCAGGACCCCTCCTTGTCTTTAAGACCCCTGGTTGTCTTCAAGACCCTTGGTTGTCTTCAAGACCCTTGGTTGTCTTCAAGACCCCCTGGTTGTCTTCAAGACCCCCCTGGTTCTCTTCAAGACTCATGGCTGTCTTCAAGACTCCTGGCTGTCTTCAAGACCCCTTGGTTGTCTTCAAGACTCCTGGCTGTCTTTAAGACTCCTGGCTGTCTTCAAGACCCCTGGTTGTCTTCAAGACCTCCTGGTTGTCTTCAAGACCCCTGGTTGTATTCAAGACCCCCTGGTTGCATTCAAGACCCGTCTGGTTGTCTTCAAGACCCCTGGCTGTCTTCAATACACCATTGGTTGTCTTCAAGACCCCCCTGGTTGTCTTCAAGACCCCTCTGGTTGTTTTCAAGACCCCTGGTTGTCTTCAAGACCCCTCTGGTTGTCTTCAAGACCTCTGGTTGTCTTCAAGACCCATCTGGTTGTCTTCAAAACCCCTGGTTTTCTTCAAGACCCCCTGGTTGTCTTCAAGACCCCTCTGGTTGTCTTCAAGACCCCTGGTTGTCTTCAAGACTCCTGGTTGTCTTCAAGACCCCTGGTTGCCTTCAAGACCCCTGGTTGTCTTCTAGACCCCTGGTTGTCTTCAAGACCCCTGGTTGTCTTCAAAACCCCTGGTTGTCTTCAAGACTCCTGGTTGTCTTCAAGACCCCTCTGGTTCTCTTCAAGACCTCTCGTTGTCTTCAAGACCCGTGGTTGTCTTCAAGACCCCTGGTTATCTTCAAGACTCCTGGTTGTCTTCAAGACCCCTCTGGTTGGCTTCAAGACTCCTGGTTGTCTTCAAGACCCCTGGTTGTTTTCAAGACCCCTCTGGTTGTCTTCAAGACCCCTAGTTGTCTTCAAGACCCCTCTGGATGTCTTCAAGAAACCTGGTTGCCTTCAAGACCCCTCTGGTTGTCTTCAAGACCCCTGATTGTCTTCAAGACCTCTGGTTGTCTTCAAGACCTCTGGTTGTCTTCAAGACTCCTGGTTGTCTTCAAGACTCCTGGTTGTCAAGACCCCTGGTTGTCTTCAAGGCCCCTGGTTGTCTTCAAGACTCATGGTTGTCTTCAAGACCCCTGGTTGCCTTCAAGACTCCTAGTTGTATTCAAGACCCCTGGTTGTCTTCAAGACCCCTAGTTGTCTTCAAGACTCCTGGTTGTCTTCAAGACTCCTGGTTGTCTTCAAGACTCCTGGTTGTCTTCAAGACTTCTGGTTGTCTTCAAGGCCCCTGGTTGTTTTCAAGACCCCTGGTTGTCTTCAAGACTCCTGGTTGTCTTCAAGACTTCTGGTTGTCAAGACCCATGGTTGTCTTCAAGACCCCTGGTTGTCTTCAAGACTCCTGGTTGTCTTCAAGACCCCTGGTTGTCTTCAAGACTCCTGGTTGTCTTCAAGACCCCTGGTTGTCTTCAAGATCCCTGGTTGTCTTCAAGACCCCTGGTTGTCATCAAGACTCCTGGTTGTCTTCAAGACTCCTGGTTGTCTTCAAGACCCCTTGTTGTCTTCAAGACCCCTTGTTGTCTTCAAGACCCCTGGTTGTCTTCAAGACTCCTGGCTGTCTTCAAGACCCCTGGTTGTCTTCAAGACCCCTGGTTGTCTTCTAGACCCCTGGTTGTCTTCAAGACTCCTGGTTGTCTTCAAGATCCCTCTGGTTGTCTTCAAGACCCCTGGTTGTCTTCAAGACCCCTGGTTGTCTTCAAGACCCCTGGTTGTCTTCAAAACCCGTGGTTGTCTTCAAGACCCCTGGTTGTCTTCAAGACTCCTGGTTGTCTTCAAGACCCCTGGTTGTCTTCAAGACTCCTGGTTGTCTTCAAGACTCCTGGTTGTCTTCAAGACTCCTGGTTGTCTTCAAGACTCATGGTTGTCTTCAAGACTCCTGGTTGTCTTCAAGACTCCTGGCTGTCTTCAAGACTCCTGGTTGTCTTCAAGACTCCTGGTTGTCTTCAAGACTCCTGGTTGTCTTCAAGACCCCTGGTTGTCTTCAAGACTCCTGGTTGTCTTCAAGACTCCTGGTTGTCTTCAAGACTCCTGGTTGTCTTCAAGACCCCTTGTTGTCTTCAAGACCCCTGGTTGTCATCAAGACTCTTGGTTGTCTTCAAGATTCCTGGTTGACTTCAAGACCCCTTGTTGTCTTCAAGACCCCTGGTTGTCTTCAAGACTCCTGGTTGTCTTCAAGAACCCTGGTTGTCTTCAAGACTCCTGGTTGTCTTCAAGACCCCTCTGGTTGTCTTCAAGACCTCTGGTTGTCTTCAAGACCCCTGGTTGTCTTCAAGACCCCTGGTTGTCTTCAAAACCCGTGGTTGTCTTCAAGACCCCTGGTTGTCTTCAAGACTCCTGGTTGTCTTCAAGACTCCTGGTTGTCTTCAAGACTCCTGTTTGTCTTCAAGACTCCTGGTTGTCTTCAAGACTCCTGGTTGTCTTCAAGACTCATGGTTGTCTTCAAGACTCCTGGTTGTCTTCAAGACTCCTGGCTGTCTTCAAGACTCCTGGTTGTCTTCAAGACTCCTGGTTGTCTTCAAGACCCCTGGTTGTCTTCAAGACTCCTGGTTGTCTTCAAGACTCCTGGTTGTCTTCAAGACTCCTGGTTGTCTTCAAGACTCCTGGTTGTCTTCAAGACTCCTGGTTGTCTTCAAGACCCCTTGTTGTCTTCAAGACCCCTGGTTGTCATCAAGACTCCTGGTTGTCTTCAAGATTCCTGGTTGACTTCAAGACCCCTTGTTGTCTTCAAGACCCCTTGTTGTCTTCAAGACCCCTGGTTGTCTTCAAGACCCCTGGTTATCTTCAAGACTCCTGGTTGTCTTCAAGACTCCTAGTTATCTTCAAGACTCCTGGTTGTCTTCAAGACCCCTGGTTGTCTTCAAGACCCCTGGTTGTCTTCAAGACCCCTGGTTGTTTTCAAGACTCCTGGTTGTCTTCAAGACCCCTGGTTGTCTTCAAGACTCCTGGTTGTTTTCAAGACTCCTGGTTGTCTTCAAGACTCCTGGTTGTCTTCAAGACCCCTGGTTGTCTTCAAGACCCCTGGTTGTCTTCAAGACCACTGATTGTCTTCAAGACCCCTGGTTGTCTTGAAGACCCCTGGTTGTCTTCAAGACCCCTGGTTGTCTTCAAGACTCCTGGTTGTCTTCAAGACCCCTGGTTGTCTTCAAGACCCCTGGTTGTCTTCAAGACCCCTGTTTGTCTTCAAAACCCCTGTTTGTCTTCAAGACCCCTGGTTGTCTTCAAGATTCCTGGTTGTGTTCAAGACCCCTGGTTGTCTTCATGACTCCTGGTTGTCTTCAAGACCCCTGGTTGTCTTCAAGACCTCCTGGTTGTCTTCAAGACCCCTGGTTGTCCTCAAGACCGCTGGTTGTCTTCAAGACCCCTGGTTGTCTTCAAGATCCCTGGTTGTCTTCAAGACCCCTGGATGTCTTCAAGACCCCTGGTTTTCTTCAAGACCCCTCTGGTTGTCTTCCAGACGGAGCTTAACAGACACATAAAGTCAGCACCTAACCACTCAGGCTGGAGTTTGTACGTTTGTTTACGTGTGGCCAGCAGTAACAACCTGGTTGATCAAGTCATGATCCACCACGAAGCCTGGTCATGAACCGGGCCGCGGGGGTGTTGACTCCCGAAACACCATGCAGGTATACTCCCTCCAGTTATCCTGTGGGTGCTCTCACTACAACTCGGGTATCCCCCTACGTGCACACTTTGCGACACAGGTATTCCCTGAGTGTACACGTTACTTCGCAGATATCCCCTGAGTTTACACATTACTACACAGGTATCCCCTGAGTTTACACATTATTACACAGGTATCCCCTGAGTTTACACATTATTACACAGGTATCCCCTGAGTTTACACATTATTACACAGGTATCTCCTGAGTGTGCACCTTGCTACAGTTATCCCCATGAGTGTACGCATTACGTCACGGGTATCCCTCTGAGTGTACACATTACTACACAGGTATTCCTATGGGTGTACACATTACGACACGCGTATCCCTGTGAGTGTACACAGTTCAACACAGGTATCCTTCTGGGTGTACACTTTACGACACGGGTATCTCTATAAAACAGGTATCCCTCTGGATGTACACTTTACGACACAGGTATCCCTCTGGGTTTACAAGTATTCTTTCTGGGTACACAGGTATACCTTCTGGGTACATAGGTATGGTATCCCCTTTAAGTACACAGGTACCCTGGGTGAGCATGTATCCTACCTGGGTGTGTAGGTACCCTGGGTGCACAGGTCTCCCCTCCGGTTACACAGATACTCTGGTTACACAGGCACTCTAGGTACACAGGTATCCCCTTGGGGTTCACAGGTACTCTGGGTACACAGGTACCCTGGGTATAAAGGTATCCCTTCTGGGTACACAGTTACCCTGAGTGTACAGGCATCCCATCTGGGTACACAGGTACCCTGGGTATAAAGGTATCCCTCTGGGTACATTGGTACCCTGGGTACAGAGGAGTCCCCTGTGGGTACTGAGGTAGCCCCTGTGGGTATAAAGGTGTAACCTGTGGGTGCAGAGGTATCCCTCACAGGGCATACACAACACTTACCGTTCTCATAGCCGGTACTCTTCTAGTTCATGTGTACCGTTGATTGTACCGTTGTAGATCCGCGGTGCTGGAGTGAGGGCTACCTGTATGTATCCCTCCTGGAATATAACTACAGTCAGGAGGATGCTTCAACTGCCTTTATATAGCCGCTCCCTCGGCGGCCATCTTGTATTATCTCTCTCCCACCCTCTCTCCCACCCACTCCACTATATCCACCTCCATCCCCTCCATCCCTCTCTCCAGGTGGTGGATAGGTACCTACCCGGAGGCTCCAACAATCCGGGTGTCTCCTGGGTTCACAAAGGAGGGGGCCAGGGTTCGACTTCCTGGACAGACACAAGGGTATACCTGGAGAATACCTGGCGAGGGTTCGGAGTTCAATGCCCCGGCGGCCCGGTCTGAGACCAGGCCTCGTGGTGGATCTAGGTCTGATCAACCAGACTGTTACTATTGGCCACATGCAAACTGATGTACGAACCACAGCCCGGTTGGTCAGGTACTGACTTTAGGTGCCTGTCCAGTGACTTCTTGAAGACAGCCAGTAGTCTTGAAGACAGCCAGGGGTCTTGAAGACAGCCAGGGGTCTTGAAGACAGCCAGGGGTCTTGAAGACAGTCAGGGGTCTTGAAGACAGCCAGGGGTCTATTGGTAATCCCCCTTATGTATGCTGGGAGGCAGTTGAACAGTCTTGGGCCCAGGACACTTATTGTGTTGTCTCTCAGTGTACTCGTGGCGCCTCTGCTTTTCATCGAGGGAATGTTCCATCTCCTGCCGAGTCTTTTGCTTTCATATGGAGTGCTTTTCGTGTGCAAGTTTGGTACCAATCCCAGGACCTTCCAAGTGTATATTATCATGTATCTCTCTCGCCTGCGTTCCAGGGAATACAGATGAAGGACCTTCAACCGTTCCCAGTAGTTTAGGTGCTTTATCGGACTTATGTGTACCGTGAAAGTTCTCTGTACACTCTCCAGGTCTGCAATGTTGCCAGCCTTGAAGGGGGACGTTAGTGTACAGCAGTATTCCAGCCTAGAGAGGACAAGCGATTTGAAGAGAATCATCATGGGCTTGGCGTCCCTAGTTCTGAAGATTCTCATTATCCATCCTGTCATTTTCCTAGCGGATGAGGTAGATACATTGTTGTGATCTTTGAATGTGAGATCCTCTAGCATTATCACTCCCAGGTCCTTCACATTACTTTTTCGCTCTATTGTGTGGTTAGTAGTAGTCCCTTCACATGACCACAACACTCCACTACATCCTTCTCCAGTCCCTCCATCCCTCCCTCCAGCTGGAGGATAGGTACCTACCCAGGTGCACCAACTATCCGGCTGTCTCCTGGGTTTCCTGGTGGAGCACTGGGTTCACACGGGAGGGAGCCAGGGTTCGATTTCCGGGTTGGTATAGTTAGGGTGAGAGTACGGTCGTAACAACGGGGTCTAGTTCAGCTGCTAGACCGACTGAGACCTCGGCAGCAAGAACTCTCTTTTGCACTCGCCTAATTCTGCATGCAGGGGGTCGATTCACCACTCTCAGAGCTCATTTTACTGAATAATTAAAGATATTTTGGGCAGTTACTTGAAAATACTTCTGTTTGTTTGTGGGCAAAGCCGGATTGGTGATGGAAAGGTGGTGGATATTACCAGGCCAGGAGCTATAGTTCAGCCCCCTCAGGCAGTGTGGGTGGTGACAACCAAAGGCTAATACACACACCCACACACACTCACCCAGCACTCACCTATAGAATCCCACAGTACACTGACAGGCCCCCCCCCCCACCCTCACAGACCCCCCAAAACACAGTGTTGGAGAGGAAACTGAAGGTATGATACACCAACACTGATGGAATAACAAATAAGTAGGAGGAGTGGCACGAAAGAGTCAAAGAGGCATCACCAGACATCATAGTTCTCACAGAAACCAAGCTCACAGGTATGTTAACAGATGCCATCTTTCCAACGAGACATCAGATCCTGAGGAAAGACAGAGGGAACAGAGGGGGTGGAGGAGTGGCACTGCTGGTCAAAAACCGATGGGATTTTGATGAGCTGGAGAGAGGAGACAGTGGAGAAGCAAGGGATTACACAGTAGGAATGCTTCAGTCTGGAGATCCCAAGGCGGTAATTGCAGTGATATATAACCTACCACAGTACAGCAGGAGGCCAAGGCAAGAGTATGATGAGAATAATAGAGTGATGGTTGACACACTGGCTGAAGTGGCAAGAAGGGCTCGTGTATGCAGGGCAAAGCTACTAATCATGGGTGACTTCAACTACAAGGAAATTGATTGGGAGAACTTGGAGCCACATGGATGCCAAGATACATGGAGGGCTAAGATGATGGAGGTGGTACTGGAAAACTTCATGTACCAACACGTAAGGGACACTACCAGAGAGAGAGGAGAGGATGAACCAGAGAGACTGGACCTAGTATTCACCTTGAGTAGTGCAGATATTGAAGACATCACATATGAAAGAGCCCTGGAGGCCAGTGATCTTGTGGTTTTAAGATTCAAATACACAGTAGAGCTACAAGTGGAGGGGAAAACAGGAAGAGCCAGACGAATGAAACCACACTACAAGAAGGGGGACTACGCAAGAATGAAGAACTTCCTGAACAAGGTTCAGTGGGACAGAGAACTGACAGGGAAGTCAGTAAATGAGATGATGGAATATGTGACAACAATATGCAAGGAGGCTGAGGAGAGGTTTGTACCCAAGGGTAACATGAATAATGAAAAAGCCAGGATGAGCCCGTGGTTCACCCAAGGGTGAAGAGAGGCCAAAACCAAGTGTGCTAGGGAACGGAAGAAGTATAGAAGGCAAAAGACCCAGGAGAATAAGGAGAGCAGTCGTAGAGCCAGAAATGACTATGCACAGGTAAGAAGGGAGGCCCAACGACAATATGAAAATGACATAGCAGCGAAAGCCTAATCTCACCCAAAGTTGTTGTACAGCCACATCAGGAGGAAAACAACAGTCAAAGACTAGGTAATCAGACTAAGGAAGGAAGGAGAAAAGATCACAAGAAACAACCACGAAGTATGTGAGGAACTCAACAGAAGATTTAAAGAAGTGTTCACAAAGGAGACAGAAGGACATCCAGAAAGATGCAGAGGTGGGGTGCACCATCAAGTGTTGGATACAAAACATACAACCAAGGAAGAAGTGAAGAGGCTGATAAGTGAGCTAGATACCTCAAAGGTGATGGGACCGGACATCTCTCCATGGGTCTTGAGAGAGGGAGCAGAGGCACTATGTGTACCACTAACAACAAGCTTCAACACATATATAGAAACAGGGAGATTATCTGAGGTATGGAAGACAGCAAAAGTAGTCCAAACTTAAAAAAAAGGAGACAGACACCAAGCACTAAACTACAGACCAGTGTCACTGACATGTATAGTATGCAAAGTCATGGAGAAGATTGTCAGGAGAAGAGCGGTGGAACACCTAGAATGGAATGATCTCATCAACAGCACCCAACATGGTTTCAGGGACGGGAAATCCTGTGTCACAAACTTACTGGAGTTTTATGACATGGTGACAGAAGTAAGACAAGAGAGAGAGGGGTGGGTGGATTGCATTTTCTTGGACTGCAAGAAGGCGTTTGACACAGTTCCACACAAGAGATTGGTGCAAAAACTGGAGGACCAAGCAGGGATAACAGGGAAGGCACTACAATGGATCAGGGAATACTTGTCAGGAAGACAACAGCGAATCATGGTACATGGTAAGGTATCAGAGTGGGCGCCTGTGACGAGTGGGGTCCCACAGGGATCAGTCCTAGGACCAGTGCTGTTTCTGGTATTTGTGAGTGACATGACAGAAGGAATAGACTCCAAAGTGTCCCTGTTTGCAGATGATGAGAAGAATTCAATCGGGCGAGGACCAGGCAGAACTACAAAGGGATCTGGACTGATTGCAGGCCTGGTCCAGAAACTGGCTCCTAGAGTTCGATCCCACCAAGCGCAAAGTCATGAAGATTGGGGAAGGGCAAAGAAGACTGCAGATGGAGAGCAGTCTAAGGGGCCAGAGACTACAAACCTCACTCAAGGAAAAAGATCTTGGGGTGAGTATAACACCAGGCACATCTGAAGCGTGCATCAACCAAATAACTGCTGCAGCATATGGGCGCCTAGCAAACCTCAGAACAGCATTCCGACATCTTAATAAGGAATCGTTCAGGACCCTGTACACCGTGTACGTTAGGCCCATATTGGAGTATGCGGCACCAGTTTGGAACCCACACCAGGGCCAGACTCATGGAACTCCGTGTTCGTCAAGAACTGCAAGAAGCCCCAATCACGAGCCTTTACCATCCTATGGAGAGGGAGTATGGACACGGGGGTCGTCCCACAGGTACTAAAAACAACAGACATAGCCCCACTCCACGAAGGGGGCAGTAAAGCAACAGCAAAGAACTACAGACCGATAGCACTAACATCCCATATCATAAAAATCTTTGAAAGGGTCCTAAGAAGCAAGATCACCACCCATCTAGAAACCCATCAGTTACACAACCCAGGGCAACATGGGTTTAGAACAGGTCGCTCCTGTCTGTCTCAACTATTGGATCACTACGACAAGGTCCTAAATGCACTAGAAGACAAAAAGAATGCAGATGTAATATACACCTTCGACAAGTGTGACCATGGCGTAATAGCGCACAAAATGCGTGCTAAAGGAATAACAGGAAAAGTTGGTAGATGGATCTATAATTTCCTCACTAACAGAACACAGAGAGTAGTCGTCAACAGAGTAAAGTCCGAGGCACCTACGGTGAAAAGCTCTGTTTCCACAAGGCACAGTACTCGCTCCCATCTTGTTCCTCATCCTCATATCCGACATAGACAAGGATGTCAGCCACAGCACCGTGTCTTCCTTTGCAGATGACACCCGAATCTGCATGACAGTGTCTTCCATTGCAGACACTGCAAGGCTCCAGGCGGACATCAACCAAATCTTTCAGTGGGCTGCAGAAAACAATATGAAGTTCAACGATGAGAAATTTCAATTACTCAGATATGGTAAACACGAGGAAATTAAATCTTCATCAGAGTACAAAACAAATTCTGGCCACAAAATAGAGCGAAACACCAACGTCAAAGACCTGGGAGTGATCATGTCGGAGGATCTCACCTTCAAGGACCATAA